GCCGGATTAGATGTAATGTAGGCCAGATGAAAAGCTAATGTGGGCTGAATAATTTCATATTAAAAATCCCGCGCGGGGTCCAAAAAAATCACGCGCATCACGCGCGTGATCCCGCGCAGATCCCGCGCGTTGCCCATCACTAATTGGAAGTATCTATTAGTCTAGCATCACCCCCAAACAAATTTCGCCGACTATGTGAAAAAATTGGTTCGCAATTAGTTTAGGGTTAGGGTCCAGCTGTAGGTTAATGTTTAATTTAAAGGGTCAAGTTATGGTAAAATTTTGAGAGGAATTTTCTTTGTTAGTACGCAGAAGGCGCTTTCATAGGTAAAACTTTTGAGTGCGCTTTTTTGCGTTACATGAGATATTGAAATCTGATGATTTCACGTGATGTGATGATCACTGGTTCAGAATAGGCCGATTCTGATTTTTAATATTTCACTTTCCCTTTTAATGTCTCGCGTACGTACTTCAAATGATATTTGGTGGGCAAGGATTTTGAATAGGATTGATGAATTTGTACATAATTATCCAAAACTCCCAAAAAAGGCGTTAGCAGAGAGTAGGTGGGTGCATGGATGAATCGCTTTGTCATTATTGCTTAAGTATTGCCTAATTTTAACTTATAAAATAAGTTTGCCTTTCAAAATTGGCTCGAAAATATCGATCAAGAATTATAATACTTTTCTTCGCAATCATGAGTCATCTGGATATAAGTTCTAGTTTAGGTTAAATGACAGCAATAAAACTGGTGATGTATATATAATTCACCTGTGCACGAAAATGTTGTTCAACTGCTTGTAAGAATTTTAAATATACCTAATAGTGGAGTTATTTATGATCCACCTATAGAAGTTTCCGGACACGCTTGTAAGAGAATCTGCTGTGGTTTTTATTTTTTTTCTTGCTATTCTATTTTTATATTCTCAATCTTTTCACATAGTTCATCCTGATCCTCGTGGTTCAGGCGCTATAATAGCTCCTGATATTACTGTATACCCAAGTAATGCGTTTGTCCCAAGACCACCTACTGATTTAAGACCTCCTCTTGCCTTTATACCTCCTAGCGATATAGATGTATGTGGATTTTGATGTGCATTATTACATTTCACATGATATTTTCTTTAACATGATTTATATAGGGAAATCCTCATGCACGAGTAATTTGTGAGGTAGCTATAGGCCAAAGTGTTGGTCATTTGAGACAAAAGAGTTTTACCTGGATGCAAGAACAATACGTCCGTGCTGTCATCAGTATCAAGATTTTAGATCCAAGACGAGGTATACGGGAACCTACAACAGGATATTTTTATAGATCAATGATAGTATGTGTTCTCATTATTTATTGTATATTTTCATTTTTATTGTCCTTTTTTTTAACAAAAAAAATTTAGGCAAAACTTTATCGTCAAGGAATGCTAGTACAACGATGGGATTTTGGAAATATTAAAAAGCATGCAAAGGATCCTAACACGGATCCTGCTGGTTGCACCGCAGAAAACTTACCAGCTTTTCAGATAAATATTCCTATAAATGAAGTATTTTGGGACCCTCCATTTCCTATTCCATCTACATATGGTCCAATAATCCCTCCTACGGCAAACATAGTTGGTACTAATTTTATTATTGATTTATACCGAATTCAGCGAGAAGCTCTAAAATCTAAAATGTGAACAAGTTAGAATGTGCCTTTTTCATATTTATAGTATCATGGTTTAGCTAAAATGTATGAATATTGCATTATGCAACTTTATAGAGCTAATAAAATAGTTTTGTAACCGGTGGCAGTCAGTAACCGGATTTCGAGATTAGATAATGGTTAGGATGAGTCATGTTATTTGCAAATTTCAAAGAAACTTTTTTTGTTAGGCCATGGGCATAAATTGAGTTATTTGCATTTGAAATTTTGAAAAATTTAAATCATAAAGTATAAGTTACAGCAAGACATCCCGTCACGGACTGTCCGTTGTTCACGTCCCTGTCCCATGACAGCATCGGTTTATAGTACAGTCAGATCTCTCTAAGTGCACACACACCTTGGGACCATATCTTTGCAATGAGTATTTAGAGAATAATAAGGAGAGGTGCATTTATAAAGATCAAGGTTTGACCAGAATTTGAGTGTGCATTTAAAAATGGTGTGCACTTATAGATAGTGCACATTAGTATTGCTTGCTGCAAATATAAAAATGTGACTTTTTTATAGCACAGCTGGGGTTAAAACTTATTGCCGCAATAGAATGTGGCATCGGTAATATAATAACCTATCTTGCAATAATTACAACATAAATAGAATTCTCTCTGATCATTATCTATTGCAATAAAGTCAATAAATAGTCATTTTATAGTAAAATTAAATTTTAATGATGATAAAAAATCATATTTATTTTTCATATATTTGCTAGTACCCTAATAAGATTTTTTTATTTTGTAAACTGTATCTTACATCTCAAGAAACATATTCCGGGTAATATTTCTTAGGGCTACTTACTTGTAAAACTAGTGATTTAACAAAAAAAAAGCTCTATGAAAAATATACAATATCTTTTAATTACCTTGGTGAAGTGTGCCAAGAACTTGTAATTTCCTTTAGTCTCTTTAAAATTAACATGTTCACACACACAAGGATGTCATGCATGGCTCTGCTAAGCTTACAACTGTCATGCATGCAATTTGACATCATCAAATTTTTGGCTGCTTCGATAACTCTGTATTAATAAGTTCAAATTATTCTATCCATCGTATACCTTATTTTCTTACATGAAACTTTCTTATGACATGAATGTTCTCTGATTTTTTTTATTGCAGATACTGCTTTAATTAATAATTCTTTTCTATAAAACGATAAATAATTGATAAGACGTAAAATATTACATGAATATATAAAGATGTGAAAGGCCAAGTCCAGTCTAACTTGACTTTTTGTTGAGTCGGATTTTTCTATCTCTATACATTTTAAAGATTGAACACTAATACCAGATAAACCGAAAAAAAAAACAAAGTCTTATTTATTGCTGTAACATCTTTATAATTAATAGCAACATTTGGCTTACGTTCCGTATTTTAAGGAACTGCGATGCGCAACTACCTTATTTTTTTTACATACAGTCAAATCCCAAGTTTACTTCACTTAAAGAATGCACATTTGGAGAGTTGCAGCTATATTTATAGTTATTGGATAAATAGTGTAATGCACTGTATACAATAAATAAAACTTTAAACGTTAACAATGACATTAAAAAAATGTGCATACGTATTTGAAAATGATTTCTAATTTACTTGCATTAGACACTAAAAAGATATGCCGGAGGCCATATCCGGGTCAGTGTACAACAGCTCATTATAATTCTATGCATCACATGCAATCTTTTGTGACGCCAAATCTTATTTACACAATCAAATCCTACCACTATACATTATAGTACACCCAAAGAAGGAATCGATTAAATCTAGAAAATTCTATGCATTGAAAAACATATCATATTCCTGTTAAAAATTTTATACATGTTGAATTATACGTAGTAAATTCGTATTTTGAGTTACACCTCTCTATATTGACTAATATATAAAGTACTTTTTATAAAATAAATTTGACATATAAATTATGCTATAGACATGATCATATTGATTAAGGATAGAATCATAAGAACATAGTAGATTCAATTAAGTTTTGTGAATTTTTCTTAATTAGTTGAACAAGCCAGCTAGACTATGCAGAGTCACATACATATTGTGGCATACGTACTTTGGCTTACATACTGTGGCGTCTTTTAAACTTTAATAGAACATTGTTAAAGATCTGAGAGCTTCTATGCATGTTCTAATATTCCAGAGAACAATAACAGAACTTTATTTGTGGAATTTGGGTAACTATGGAAAGCACCTATCAACTATGTACGTACATACGTACTTACATGCAGGTGTACAAATTTAGTACATGTCATTGTCTCCAAAAAGAAGTATTTTCGCATATAATGCAGGCCAAAATTAACAAATTTTGTATAGTGTTGGCCAGGTATGATTATTTCCATTTTCGAAAAAATACTGATAAGTAATGATTTGCATATTTATGAGATTGAGTTCTACTCAAACTTTTTTCCAAAAATTTAAGTAATTCCGGAAAGTCAATACTAAAAAAGTTGAATGACGAGATCTTGCTGCAAAAGTCTTTTTTCCGTTTTACCAAAAACAAAACATTAAAATTAAACCATTATTCTATTTGATGCACAAATTATACGCAGTTGAATGATCAAATTTGTTTTGTTTTTTTTTTTAAATTAAAACAATTAGTATATGTAATGGAAAATTTTATATTTAAGACGATGCCTCCTCGATCATTGAATACTCACAATCCAAAACAGAAAAATGAGAAAATCGGAAGAAATTCAAGAAACTCAATTATCGATGGATACTTCTTCCGAGATGGGAATCTTAAAATCCTGTTATGAAAATTCATTTGATAATGAATTGTTCAGTAGTCCACTCCCACCTTATCAATTGACCTTAGAAATCGATGAACTTATTTCACCACCTAAAAATTCTCGTAAAGCCAAAAAATTTCTAAAAAATCCTCATACTTCGTCACCTCCAAGACCTCAGAATGCCTTTGTCTTATTTCGTCGCGATTTTTACGCAAAGCTAAGAATTGAAGGAATTAAAATGAAAAATGGAGATATCTCTCGTTTAGCATCCGAAGAATGGCATAAACAACCGAAAGAAGTTCTTCGTTACTTTGAAATTCTTGAACAATTGGCGAAAGATAAACACAATGAAATGTATCCGGATTACAAATATTCCCCCCAAAAAAATAATGGAAAGAAATCAAAATCAAAAATTGCACGCCAAAAAATTATGAATTTTGAACAATCTCCAGAAAGTTACAACGAAATGAGTGATGTGACATCAGAAGAACTGGAAAAAAACTTGGAAACTCCTATAATTGAAAATATTAATGTCTCTGATCCTACTTTTTCGGAATCTACAAATCTTGATTTTCTATTATATTCCGAATATGAGATAATAAATAATTTTGAGCAAGAATATGAGATGATAAATAATTTCGATCAGCTAGAGATCGATCAAACTTTCGAACAAATTGATCAAACCTTCGAACCGGAGATCGATCAAACTTTCGAGCTGGAGATCGATCAAACTTTCGAGCTGGAGATCGATCAACCTTTCGAGCTGGAGATCGATCAACCTTTCGAACTGGAGATCGATCAAACTTTTGTTCAAGAACTTTATAAAACTTTTGATCAGGAAATTGATCACACCTCCTATCAAGAAATCTTCGATACATATTTATTTATATCTGAATCTTAAAGTTTCCATTCTTTTTTTTTCCTTTAAATCACCGGATTCTTATTTCTATGCTTCTATATACCAAGGCCGTCTCTAAATTTATGATAATTTACTACTACAATTTATAATTTTTTTAAGCGACAATTTTATGTTTTTATGAACTTTTAAGCGATAATTTATGTTTTTATGAACTTTTATATGACAATTTATATTTAATATGGTATAAAAATATATGCAATATAGTATTAAAAATAAGTATTATGACATAAATAGATATGTATTATGCACTAAAGATCTGTTATGGTAAAAATAAGAATAATCTAGATCAAAATAAGAAAAATAAGATTACGACTATGCCATAAAAAAATAGAATATGTATATATATGATTTCGGTGTTTTAAAGGATTTTCAATAGCACTAGCATGTAACCGCTAAGGGTTCTTTTATATTTTTAACAATCTTTAAATTTAGAAATTTTATTATTATTATATAACATTCTTTTCTTATACGTATTTCCTAAATTATATATTACCATATTTACTAAAATTATATATTAAAATAAAATATTTATATACCTTTTAAAATCATCATTGTATTACTATTGCTGTCTTATATCGTTCTTAAATAACTTTATAACTCAAAAAGGTAGTCGGTCTTATCACGTGAAACAAATGATTTTATCTCTCCCATATTATAGAATATGATTGGTTAATACTTTGAAATGATTATGAATTAAGAATATGTTGAATAGAGTTTAGAACCGGTTTTATTTTTCTTATGTTAAATCCGATTAAAATCGGTGCCAAACACTAATATTGAAATGATTTTTGTTTAAATTGCGACTTTCAAGAATACTTTGAAATAGTTGTAATATATATTTCGAGAACCTGAATTGTGGTAATTTAACTTATTTATTTCATTTATGAAAGTAATTCATGAAAAAACGATCAACGATCTTTTGATCTTGTGAGAATTATGCTTGTAAATATTTATATACATTTATTCATATTAATAATTAACTATGGCTATCGCTATATGTTTTATTTGGGACGTTAATACAGTAATAGGTAGATGCATTGATCTACGTACTGCATAAACTGTATTCTTGATATTTATGTATAAATATAATCGTAATTGCATCAAAAAAATAACTCTAACCTTAGCCGATCTTACTGTTTATTAATTGCATGACTTCGTTACGAAGGAACCTTTTAAACACCGACATATGCTCTTTAGTTTCAATTAGGGATGGGCAACAGAATTATGCTAGCCTGAATTTTAAAAATCACACTGCAGTCTCTCGAAAATTCTGTAAAGCCTGCGCAGGCTGCACAGTAGCTCATCCCTAGTTTCAATGAGTTTACGAAAGTGCAAGCTTGAACATATAAGCTGCGATGGAATAGAAACATCGAAAACTACAATGCTTTTTTCCGTAATCAAATTGAGCGCCAAGGAGGACAAATGTTAAACTTTATTGTGGCATCATTTGGAAGAATTTGATAATGTATAAATTAGTTTTTTAAGATAATTAAAATTTTTTAATTAAGATTGACTAACAATGTTAACTATTGTTTTAACTATCATTTTAACTATCATTTTAAATACTATCGTTTTAACTATGATTTTAAATGCTATCGTTTTAACCATTGTTTGTGAAGACTAAATTTTTTTAAGCTGCCATAAATGTCGAGATTTTGAATATTCAAATATAATACATGGAGCTCGTCTGCTGAATTAGAGTAAATAAGCGCGACGATCCGAACATTCAAGAAATAATTTTGCATAGAAGTTGAGATTGAAGAATGAAGGATAGAATGTAATAATTAATGGCTATAATTTCTTGTAACAAAATAATAGAACAAAATTTCATTTAGAATGTTTCGTGGATTTGGAAAGTTTAGATTCTATATATTCGATGATTTGATGCTATGTATGTAATTTAACTCAAGTTTTACAAGTTTATCTTTAGAATATGTTTAACTATTTGTTCTGATCTAATAATAGTAGTTGTGTCTTTTAGAAATAATTAAAGCTTTTCCTTCCAACAAAAAAAAAGACTTGCTATTCGGAAAAAGTCAATAACAATAATAATAATAATAATAAAGGTTTGTCAAAATATCGTGTTACTGCGCCCTCGACTGGTGGTGACGCTCGGATAACCTTCCAAAACTGATATCACCCATAATACATATCAATATTAGTTCTAGAAGATTCAACAGTAATATAAGAGCCATTACTATTTTGTTTTGTTTTAATGATTGAATGTTTCTTATATGTACGTACGTCACCTAGATATACAAATTTGTATATGTCATTGTCTAGAAAAAATAGCAGTTCCCTTTTGCATATAATGCGGGCCAAAATTTGCATAATGTTGACCAGGAGTACATATTTCCGGAAGATCAAGAAATACCCGATATAGTAATAATTTACATGTATCATATTTTATATAGAATCGGGATCCAAGTAGTTCGAAGTTTGGGGTTTTTCCGGAAAGGCATCATTAAATAAAACAGAATGATGCATCATGTAGTATCAATTATTCTGTTGTTTTCCGGTTAGCCAAAAATTAATTCCCATTTCGTCAAAAATTATTAACTATTATTCACAGTCGTACAAATGCTTGCGCAGCCGGATAAACGTCTTGTTGTTTTAAAAACAGAATAAATTAGTATTTTATATTATTATGATGGAAAAACTTTTTTTTATTTAAAGGATGCCTCCTTGATCTTTGAATTCTCGTCCTAAACAATATGTCTTTTTCTTTGATGATGAAGGGAGAAATACAATTCGTAAATATTTCTCCTGAGAGAATATATAAATCTTTTTGCGATAATACATCGGATAATAAATTGTTTAAGGACCCCCCATATCCCTTAGCATTAGAAATTAATGAATTGATATTGCCTCCAGAAAATTCACGTAAAGCTATCAGGTTCAAAAAAAATCCGTACTCAAAACCTCCACGGCCACAAAATGCTTGGATAATATTTCGTAGAAATTATACTGCATTGTCAAAATCAAAAGGAGTAAAAATGTCCAACGCTGACATTTCGCGTTCAGCAGCAGAAGAATGGAGGAAACAACCTAAAGAGGTTGTTCAATTTTTTGAAATACTCGAAATCCTTGCTAAGGAAATGCATAATGAAATCTATCCGGGATTCAAATTTCGCCCGGAAAGAAACAAAGAATCGAAGTCGAAAAAAGCAACTCGTGATAAACCCGAAATTATCGAATTCAAAATTTCCAAAAGCCACAATGAAGTGGCATCTGAAGAAGTTTCTTCAAATATTAATTGCGCTGATAATATTTTGAATAATAATAATTTCCTATTTAGCGATAGTCCTAATTTCCTATTTAACGAATTCAATTTTTTTACCGAATTTTCCAATTTTGATCTTGGAACGTCGTTTTTCCAAGAAATTTATAATCAACAAACTTTTGACCAACAAATTTCTGGTCAAGAAGACATTAACTTCTCTGATTACTTAGTCGATCTCGATTCCCCTACGACTTAACATTAGCGTTCTATTTTTTTTGTTAAAAAAAAATTGGCAACTTATTGTTCGCACATTATGTAACCGTTGATTTTCCGTTTTTCTTTTCCTTTTTTGAAATTGGCAACTTATTTTTATGCTTATTGATATATGTTCTCACATCCACAATTTATTGTTTTTTTTTTATAAGCTTTTATATGGAAAATATATGTATACGACAGATATATGTATCATGGTTTAGAAATATATGCATTATTGAGCAAAAAGACATATATATGTCATTTCGGACAAAGAGATATGTATTATGAAAAAATAATATAGCAGCGTCGACGCAAGAAAATAAAGATTATGAATATGTTTAAAAAGTGAATAAAAGTATATATGGGTTTCAGGGTTTATAAAGGATTTTCCAATGTTATTATTAAAATATTTTATCATGACTTCATTTGGCAAAATTTTTAATTGACATACGTATAAGTGATTTAAGTTTGTTCTTATAGTGTTTTTTTTTTTTGAATTTATAAATTTTTATTACAATTACATGCAAAATTAAATGGGCATTCATGATATATGGCGAATATCGAAACCATTTCGCGAGGTCATTGAAATCTAATAGTAAATTTTAACTGGCATAATATCCTAGCGTTATAGTATTAAGCGCTATAAAATAATTTTACCTTAAATAAACTAGGTAAATATTATTACTAATCAAATAAAACTTGATACACACAATTTATTTAATACAATATTTCGTTCAATACAAAACAAAATTATTTTATTGGTTGTTTTGATTTTCTTATAGATAACCTTGTGAAAAAAACTTGGGTTGTTATGATTGGTCAATTGTAAAACGTGTATCGGTATCGGTATATTGTATGCACAAATTTAGTGTTTGCCATTGTTTTCAAAATAGGCACTTCATTTTTGCATATAAATCTGCATATTGTTAGGTAAGGATGTTAATTTTCGGGGAGATTTATTTTTGGAAGACTCCTGATGCAGTAATGATTTATCTTTTATGAAATCAAGTTTCACGTAAGGCGGTTGATTCAAAATTTTAGGTTTTTCCGTAAGGATTATACTATATAAAGTCAAAATGACGAGATTGTGCTATATCAGTTTCAGCCAAAAAGTAAGTTCCTGTTGCACAACCTATTAGGACAGTTGCCGCAGCCGGATAAACTGAAAACAGTTATTTTAATTAAGTCAATTAATATACGAATGGGGATTTTCTTGCTTTTAGTCTTTAATTATGATGAAGAAGGGAGAAATTCAATTTATAAAAATTTCACCCAAAATGAGAATCTATAAATCTTTTTGTGAAAATTCATTTAATAATGAATTGTTCAGTAGTTCGCCTCCATATCAATTAAAAATAGGAATCGAAGAACTAATTTCTCCGTCAAAAAATTCGCGAAAAAATTCGCGAAAAAATTCTCGAAAAAATCTTATTCTTCGTCACCTCCAAGACCTCAGAATGCTTTTGTTCTATTTCGTCGTGACTTTTCTGCAAGGCTATAATTAAAAAAAAATGAAGATAAGCAATGGGAACGTCTCTCTAAGAATGGAGTAAACAACCGAAAGAAGTTCTTCGTTTTTTTTGAGTTCTCGAGAATTTAGCGAAAGATAGACATAAAGAAATCTATCCGGATCATAGATATTCTCCTAAAAAAAGTTATGGAAAGCAATCAAAATTAAAAATAAGACATGCCGAAAAAATAATAAGATAATATCAGGAACTTTTTTAATTAAAAGTATTAATAGTGCTAATCAAAATTATTCAGAATCGACAAGTCTTAACGCTCCAGAAATTTGCCGAAAATTCTGATTTTATAATAAATAATTCTTTACTCGAATGGGAAAGAATTTTTATACATTTTATTTCGATCCCGATGTATAAATTATGTCTTAAAACATACATTTTTTTCTTTTGAAAAATTGGTAGCTTAAATTTGATTTCATTTATTTATTTCATCTACACGTCACTCAGGTTATATCGACATTTTTGAGACATTAGTAAAAATTTTCAAAAAGTCGATACAGCGACATTTTATATTAGAAGTTTGAAAAAATGTCGATATAGGAAGATTTTGCTATGATGTTATATCCAGATGTCGGTATAACCAGAGTGATATGTACTAGATATCTGAATTTTTTTTAAGATCATAAATAATAATTTTATGTTCTCATAAAACTTTAATGTTCATGATATAAAAAAAGAAAAAAATTATATATTTTAATATACAGTCTACCTGGATCCTGTTGTAGCGGATACCTAGTTATAACGGAGCAATTTTATGAACGATTTAAAATTAGTATTATTATATTATATAACGCTGTGGTGGATATTCATTATAATGGTCAAGATTTATCAGCCTGACCACTACGTTATTGCGAGGGCATGCTGTATATTATGAGAATATAAATTATAAATTTTATGTTCTTGGTTCTCAAAATAGAGAACGAACATAATTTTAAATGCATTGTTCTCAATTTTTTTAAAATGAACATTACGAACATAGATATCAGATACTGGTTTGCAATAAAGCATAAATAGTTATATAATGCAGTACAAAAATGTTATTATGCACGAAAAATTGTATATGCCACAAACATCATAGAATTAATATAAGAAAAACAAAGACTATGATTATTCAAATATTATGTAATTAAAAGAATACACTTTATTTCAGTGTTTTAAATGGCTTCATTGTACAAGAACAGAGTACAATGAAAACTATAGTTTAATTATCAAAAAAAAATTTATTATAATATTGCTCGCAAGAATTCTGTGCAAGACTTCGTCAATCACAAACAAAATTAATTAACCATTTTTTTTCTATTTCAAAATTTTGCCTGTGAAGCAGTTTTCGTGCTCTAACAAAAAAAAAAAATCCTTCGCATAATTGTGGTATAGATATCATATGCCAGAATGGAATTATTTTGGATTTTAAATCCGCATAGATTGATTCCAAATAACATAAGTTGTAACGGAATTCTAAATGTATCTTGGTTACTAAGGAATTCTCACAATAAAAATAAATGTATTTCAAATTATTTTATTGAATATGTTGTTTTAAAATTTAAATCATTTTAAGATATTACATATGTTTTTACATCTATGATTTATTTACAATTGTTTTTGCCGCACACGTATGAATATTACCTACTTTGCGAAAATCGTACATTTTTGTGCAAGCATATTACTCGATTTTATTTAGGTTAATAATATGTATTAATTATTCTATTATCAAGCTCGTTAATTGCGCTTGTAAGAAACTAGTAAATGAATAATTTAGAGAAGTAATAGCATTAATTGAACCTTTTGATAGGCTAACAAAAAGCTTTATTAATTAAGTAAAGAATTTTATTATTATACTCTTTTTATTTGATATAGCATAAATCATAATTTATTATGAATATATAAGTAATTCAAGAGTTCACTATTGAAATCGGGCGATACGGAGAGTCAGTCGCTCCACAATCCAAAACTTCGTGTTACCTACGGTTGGCTTAGTCGAAAAGAGGCGTTTAGAGTTGGTCGGTGGTTTGGTTTCCGTTGTGAGACCTGAATGGACCCTGGCCGGTTGGGGTCCATCGCCAAATTCGGAAAGGGGGTCGATCGCATCTGTCGCATTCGTCGCATGCGACCGACAGATAGCAGCGATCGGTCGGAGGGAAATATCAGTAGGATACGACTGATCAGTAGCATCAAAGATATCAGTCGTATCCATCGCACAATGTAAATAGAATCCTACAATTATAAATAAAGGCCGAAACGCCCTTTGGGAGAAGAACAATTTCCGCCCTTGACAAATAAAATAATACATTCACTAATATATAAACTGTTCCTAACTTGTAAACACTAACTTCCGTCAATACACTTACCCAATAACCAACCCGAACCTTCCCTTCGTTAAGTGAACCCCGTTAACCACTCGCCAACTCTAACACGCCTCTTTCGACCGATAATAACCAAGGGGTTATACGAAGTACCCGATTTTAGAGCCACCAACCTGACGAACCCTTTTTAGTGTGACTGTGAGATCCGAAACACTGCTAACCGAAATTTTTGTTACCCTGTCCGGCTGTGGTATCCTAAAGTACTAGGATCAGCCATGGTGACTCATGCCCAACTATCCGAAGGAGTGTGATAGTTGTGGTTATATGTTTAGTCCAATTACCCAAAGTAAAGTCGTAATTGAGGAATTAAAAAAACAATAAAGTTAGTTTGTTGATGAAATGGAAGAACTATGTCAACAAATAAAAAAGATAAACAAAAGACTTACCATGATTAATGCCCAAATCGAAGCATATTCAAGACCCCAATCAACACATCAGAATGTCAAACCAACCTATAGAATAAAAAAAAAGTTAGAAGAAAAATATCAAATGAAGAAAGAAAGAAAGGCAATGTATAGAACTTATCCAATGTCTTGGAAACTGGAAGGTAGAATAAGAAAGACACATCTTCAGCAAGTCCCAAACTATGATGAACACAAAGAAGTTCCCAAAAAGAGACTTGATGTTCCTATTGTAAAACCAGAAAATATACCATTAGTAAATGCTTAAAAGTTAAAATATTAGAAGAAAGTGTGCTGACCTATTCAAAACACTTACTAACAAACAAGCCCAAGAGGTTCAACAAATTATTAACAGAACTTTTAATAATCGAGGCCTTAATACAAGACAAATTCCTCAGGCACAGGAAATTATATTGAAACATTAAAAAACATATCTCTTGATAATAAAGATAAAACAGAGAAAATCATATACCTACTCTTATATATTAAAGTATCTGCAATGTCTGCTCTACATAATCTTCCTCATCATATATACCATCAAGAAAACTTCTGAGTCTAAAATGAATTCTCAAAATTTGTCCAGCTAAGTCCTACTAAGAAAAACCAATTGAAGTTCTTGAATCATATTTTATCCCAGAAATATCCTGTAATGACAATGAATATAAAGACCTAAAATGAGAGCAATATGTTAAATTAGACAATAAAATGACCTTAAAA